CTCATTTAGTGATCTGTTAGGCAAGCAAGGATAATTTTTGTGAAAAGTTGTGCAGCACATTCGGCATAGTATCCGTGATGTTATTTGTCCAGTTGGAATAACGGGCAACGACACGGGCGCTGAGAGAGGAAAAGCTCGATGTAAAAGCTTTCCGCGATACAATCCAATCATGTTAAATAAAACTGGTGTCTCGACTTCATTCAGCATTCTTGCAAGACGTAGTGATATACACGTCACTCCGACACTTCTAAAAAACTCTCTTCTTGGCTGCTTTCAGTCTCCTGACTTGCCTGCTTTCGAAAATCCTGCTGCGAGACTGTTCTGCACCTGCCGTTGGCTATTCAATCGCGGAAGTGGTTTCAGGGCCTGCACATCGAACATCTTTTTCCGGCAACTCAGGGTTCTTCAAAATGTGTTTCAAGCTTTTTTTAAATTGTTGAGGGATGTTCCGCGCAGACTCGCAATCCTGACAGTCATAACTCCTTTCTTCTTCCTGCATTGTAGCAAACACTCTTATCCAGCATTCGACCGAATCGTTACCTTCGCTTCATGGAGGCGGTGATCAGAGCCGCTGCTGAAGCATGGAATTACAAAGTAATCAAGCAAGCTGCGGTTATTTAGAAGTGGTCAATCTTTGGATGATTCCCCCCGTTAGGCGATTTCCGTGTCCGCTGATTTATTCTTTCTGTTTTTATGGAAATGTTGGAGGCCCAACGAGACGATTACCGTTCCCGTTATAGAACATCCAAAATCTTCGACCTTTTACTTCTTTTATGGTGGTAACTCTACTTTTGCTTCACATTTGCCCTAAACAAACGTGTAGAAGGGCACGAACGACCTTCTTCACTTCTTCAAAGAAAACTTTGAAAGTTGCTAATGTTGGAGAGTAGCAGTTGACAGTGCTGATGAGGCTCTGGAGTCCATACATTTAAGGTGGTCAATCTAGACGATAGAAATGCCAAGCGAATCAGCAAATAAACCAAAGATGATTGGACAAAGCCGACGCCCCATTTTTTCGTGATAGAACTCACAAGATACATGTTGAAGGTGCCACCACTCGATTATCATACGTCCTTCTTACTGCAAAATCACAACCTGTTTTGATGTACTCTGCAACGTCGACGGGGGCTCGATGTCGGCGTTTGTGAAAACTCTCACGTTGTACAGCATGAGACAGTCTACATGGCGTGTCGTCGCAGTCTTGTTGGTTTTGTACGATTTAGATGGTGTTCCTAAAACCTGACATCGATCCTGATACCATCCGCCGACAACGCAGGTTAAATTCAATGTACAGAGTTTTTTTCTTTTCTTCTTGCCTAAAGCCAGTTTTGAGGAATTGGTTCGGTTCGCTCCTAGCTAGGCATCCGGCCAAACCAGAAACTTCGAGATTCTTCACAGTCTGGGAGATTCTGCCAGAAAATACATTCAGCTGTAAGTTGCAGTTTGACACACGGAGCCGCACCGCGCCACTCGAGGCGGCGAATCTTAGTGGAGTACATCTCCATAAACAAAGACCTCACTCTTTAACGCATTTTTTTTGTAGGTGTTTCTTTACTTTTTCGTCCTTTCCCTGAACTTTTTGAAGACGACTTTAAGTAAAAATATAGTAATTTCACATTATCTCGACCATTTTTTCAAAAGTTTCAATAAGAAAGCGTTTTGATTTATTACGTTGTAAAAAATGTTCCCAGGCACTTTTGGAGATTTTTTTCTCAAACGCATTCGGGGCTCGGTCGACTTTGGAACCAAGTTTTTTTTATATTATTCAATAGGAGAAAGCCTAGATTTCAATACGGCTTCGGATTCTTATCAATGCCAAGACGCGTTGATCTGCACATCAAGAAGAATAATCTTTCCAATCATAAAAATTTCACAATTTTTCTTCCTACGGCCGTTTTTTGTGCGACTTGAAGATCAAGACGTTAGGCTCAATTTGACAAAATTTTTTAGATCTTTCCCAATGAGATGTAAGGGCATTCGAGATAACTCGAAAGCTGTTCAGCTGTTTTTCATGAAACGCAAGGCAATCCAAAACGTTTGATCGCAATGATTCAGAAGTATCCTCTTTTTTAAAGCCGTTCCACTGTGGGAATACAGCCAGGAAAGAATACATAGATCACTCAGATTTGCTTGTCTCGCCAATTAGATGATTGACTCCTTGTCCTTTTCCTGAGCAAATTTAGTTCCCTGAAAAATAGTAACCAATTTTCAAAGTTAATGTCAGTTGGCGAATAGTTGTGGAAGGCTGTCATGCTTATATACTTGTAACGTAAGCAATGAGTACTGGTAAATATCACCACTTACTACTCATACACTGAATGCGACTGGAGACTGGATACTACCGCGGATGTTCTCTGGAATGTCATCTGCTCGGTACTTGGTAACCGTATCAGTATTCTAAAAATATAGCCTGCACTTGTTAGGATGTCGGATTAATTTTATGAAATTTTGTATAAAAAATACTTCAACAAGTATCCAATGCTAAATTTTTTCTTCCCTTCAGCAATAATTATGACGCGCTCTTCCGGAAAGCTTTCTGGAGTTCAGAACCCTTCGTTATTTCTTTGTCCACTACTATAGAATTTTACCATAGAATTTTTGTTTAGGACATTTGAAAGGGTTTTGCTAGCCAACAGAAGGTCAAGCCTTTCGAATCAAAGTAAAATTTTCTCTTTTTCCAGCTTTTTTTTGAAGTTCGCCCAATAATTCTTTAGTTTCAAAAAGGCTCCAATTACAAAAACCAAGATTATAATCGCGCTCACACAAGAAAATCTCAAGATTTTATGACTCAAAAACTCGATTATTACTATCACTCACGTTGCGAAAAAATGAACTGTTCCAGCTTTAACGCATTGACGACCGAAACCTCTGACCTGCCAACATTCTTCAAATAAAATCACGCACAATTCCATTTACAGTACACCTACAGTAGCGCTGGAATGCTGGCAAAAACAGTAGAGGTTGTATATAAATCCAGCATGAAAGAGAACTTCCGGAGTTGATTTAACACATTTTAGTAGCCATCATGGTGTGTCAAGCCTTGACACACCATGTGTGTCAAGCGGTCGTCAATGTGTTACAATGCGTATTTGCAAAATTGAATAACACGGAGATTTCCTCTGCAATTTTCGCATGAATCGCAAAGAAAAGATGGCAGTTAAAAAGGGAAAAGAAGCTCCATTAAATACTCAGATAATCGCGGATGAAGGGGGGGGGTGCAGGCGGCCATGCGAATTTTGAGCAAGTCTCCGGAAAAATAGTTCGCTGATTTCTTGCGACCCGCTTGCCGAAATTTGGAGGATTGTTGACCAATTTTCAGAAGAATGCTCGGAGAACTATTGCGGTTTTCCTATAGATTAGTTGCGGCCTAGTGGCCGCATTTGTGCAAAATTATTGGGGCCGCACGGTCCTTTGTGGAGACCCTCCGCGAACAAAGATACTACCCCAGACTCGGGCAATTAAACCATCGATGACACTTTTGCAGCATAGAGTCTCGCATTTGCTCGACGTACGCCCGAAACTGCTGAAGAGTTCGAGCGTCTGCTGAAAGTTTGGCCAGCGCTCGATGAAAGAGATTATTTGACGAGCGCCGGCACTCTGTCCCGCTAGCAGGGCATTCGACAGTAAAGGAGATACCGCCCGCTGAAAGTTTGGCCACGCCCCAAAATTCTGCTGACCGCCTGCAAGAAAATGCGAGTTTGCGGAATGCTTGCCCCCGCGATTATCTGAGTAGTACCTAAAGTATTAGGTTGGCTAGTATATTTTCGGTCGCTTTTGCGGTTTCTACAAATGCTGCATACAAATTTTTGTACAGTGTTTGGTACCCCTGGATAGTACACTTCAGTGAAAATTGGAATGTCAATACCTTCGCATAGCATTTATTTCTCTATGGAAAAAGTGAAAAGCCCCAACTTTCCCGTTATGGTGCCAAAGTGGGAAAATTTCGTTTTTCAATCATATAAACAACAAATTGGCAAATCACAAATTTCATTGTTATAATGGGGAAATCTTGAATGTATCCAAATACCAAATCACCATCTCTATATCCATCACAGAATGAAAACGGAGCCTAGAAGAACTACGCCTTTTTAAATTTGGCCGTATTGAAGAATAACTGTCACTTAGCGACAGTAGAAAATTGTGATATAAGTAGATGATGTGTGATAGCACAAGCTTTGAGCAACCCCATCTCAAAAAATTATGGGAGAAAACAACAAGTAATATTTCTATGAGATTTGGTTGAAAAAAACGTAGTCTTTTCTAACCATTAATGTTTACCATTTCTTGTTTTAACAAATCTGAGTGCCAAATGCAGAACTTGGTCACTTCGAAAAATAAATTGAGAGAAAAACGAAAAAGCAAACTTTGATCAAATCAGAGCTTGTGGGGTGAGGCGCCACTCGCATCGGTGACATAGCCGCTGGAAAGAAGAAGAAATTTTGCATCACTTCTTGAGCTGTTTGTTGCCTTTACAACGGTGGGATTGAAGAACTGACAAAACTTTGCGCCGATTCAACACTCAGAGAGATCTCAAGTCTAAAAATTTTACAAACCTCCTACTTGCTCACATGATTACTCTTGGGATATCAAGCACTCATGTATCTATATGAATGTCAGCGATACCTTTCTGAATAGAAAAACGATGACAAGGGAGTTTCAGCCGTAGCAATCATGTGCCTCTTCCACACGTCAAACCTCTATTGTAGTCCCCTGGAAACACAACCATATAAACTTTCTTGAGCGTTGGGTTCCAAGAAATCACACTTTTTTGCGTTGCAAACAAAAAACAAAAATAAAGTTATATTTTTGTTCCTTTCCTACTTTTCTTCGGATCTCTAGCATCGGAAAAATCTCGCGCGACTGTATTCCCACCTTTGGGGTTATCAGAACACTACAACTTGATTGAGCTGAATTCGAGCGGATTTTTTTTCAAACGAATGCAAAATAATAGAGTTACTTGCTGTTTGATGCTTTATTTTACAAAAAGTTGTTTGGATGTAATGCCTGTGTTAAAGAATACTACGAATCTGCCAAAGTTTATCAAGAAATTGGGGCCGGACCTCATGGTGGTCAGCATTACTGCTTCGTAGCTCCACTCACAATTCTGTCAATCGGTAAACAAAAGTAGCCAAGCAAAAAGCACTACCTTTTTTTGAATCCCATATCGGCAAAATCTCATTTCGTTGTTTTGATATCGAAGATTAGACGAGCCATGTCTACGGAAATTTTCAACACTTCTATCAAAACAGCTTGCATTGATTTGATTTACTTCAATCGAGGCCCATTTGTCAAATGGCTCAAAAAACCACTATAAACCATCCATACTAGACACAAAACGTTCCTGAGGAGCTGTATGAGGATCCTTGTCCGTAATCCATATCCTGATCGACTTTCGGAATTTTCCAACTTTTAGAGCTAACAAATTAGATTGCTCTAAGCATCTGGGTTTATTGAGTCTTGAACTAGATTATTGTCTCGTGCTCTAGGTCTCGATACCGTTCGGATCGTGTTGGCCTCGGGTCCCTCAGATTAGCATGTTCTTCCGCATTCTCTCTGTTTGCCTGACTCAGTAAAAATAAGTAGAAGTGTCACAGAAAGTAGTGACCTGTTGATTTTTCGCAATCAGAATTCAGAATGAGCCATAGTAGCAATGAGATACTGTACATGGCAGCGTAGTGTTTCTTTGTAAAAAAAAAAAAACTAGCAGTCAGAACGATTACAATGCAAATTGACGTTGGCTAGCGGGGATTCACTTGACAGAAATGTGAGTGCAGATCAAAGAGAACTCTTTCTACAGAGCAATGAGCTGACTACCATAGTGGCCATGCTCACATTTATACGCATAAAATTTTACAAGTCTGTAATATATTCTTATAGTGGCATTACATCTAGATTGTTTGATAGAAACGAGCATCAAATTGCAAAAGTCTTCAGCGTTCTTCATTTGCCAAGAAACACTCTTTTCCGTTTTAAGCTTATTAGAGCATATAACATTGCAACACAACTTTCAAACTTGTTTCAGGCTTTTCGAATTGTGACTGCGCTAATTTTTATTCTATTTGCCTCATACAATGTTTCAGAAGTCCCTAGCCGTGTTTTAAAGGTAGGGTAGTGATTTGGCTGCTCTTGACAGCAAACTTGAGAATTTTGAGCGGAGCACTTGCTTTGTTGTTCGATCTCCACAGGCACGCTTGACTTAATAAAAGGAACCGCTATTTTCTTGTCTCTGTCTTTGTTTCCACTAGGCGAAGTTATCACAACGTATGCTGACTCAAGACTCAAAATCGTAGCGAATGAATTGCGATTGATTTCACCTGGGATTCCCCCTTCGATATAATCAAACAAATAAACCTCTATATCAGTACCGGGGCCGTATGAAACAATCTGCATCAATTTCCCGTTCGCATGAGCACTCCCGAACAGGTTCGTAATTTGATCAGCACCCCCGTCTATGATGGGTGGCTGACCGTGCAAAAGCCCGGTCAGGTAGATTCGGGTAAGTTTTGCAAAGTCTGGTCATCTGCCCAATCTCGTCTGACTACAAATTGTTATAGCGGCCTTCATCGTTCGCTGGCCAAAGACGTTAGTACGTAGCAAGATATAAAGATTTAACTCCGTCATCATACCGCAGCCTATGAAGCCGGAATTTCTTTGAAATTTGAATTCAAAGTTCAGTAGTAAATTCAGTTCAATTAGAGCAAAAACTTGTATTTAGGGGTATTCTATCACGCTGATTCCGAATATGTTAGTCATTTTACTTGAAAGCTAGGATTTTTTTCTTTTTTTCTTTTTTGAATAAAACGTGTTTTCACAAATAAAAATTTCAAAAATCTTATGTAAGAGTTTTCTGACAAGCTGTTTCTTAAAAAGCTAATGGCTACGCTCCATATTATATATTTTTTCCTTGGAAATTTCATTTATTTTCATTCTCTGTAAATTTGGCAAATTCCACAATTAGGGTTGGTTGGCAAAGTTGGCTATCACATGCATGGCAACCATGACTATTTGCAGGTAAACGAATTTCGTTAAATTATGTATTCAGAATATTTTAGGTCGAGGTAGTTTGGTAATTTTGGAGTTTTATTTTTGGGGTTTAAAACAGCATAGACCGTGACACTTGAATTGGTTCAAGGTGGTGTTTCTGAATAAGCAGATTCTTATTCGATGTTGAAGTCCATATCGGACTTGAGAAATTTTTGACATCGATACGATTTTCGTTTTTCGATCTAAGGTAATATTGGAGCAAGATAGATTGATCGAAATTGGATTCATTCTATTTTCTCAAACACAGCAGATTTTTTCCGTTTGTTTTCCAGGTTTATCAAATTTGCAGTGAAATTTCCGAAAAAGAGCTTGAAAAGTGGGAAATTTTTGAGGTTTCAAGCAAATACATCAGCTTTTTCGGAAACAGCATGTCAGAAAATCCTTACATAGAATTTTTGAAATTTTTGTTGGAAAATTTGTGAAAACAAGTTTTAATTCAAAAAAGAAAAAAATCCTAGGTTTCAAGTAAAATGATTAACATATTCGGAATCAGCGTGATAAAATACCCCTAAATACAAGTTTTTACCCTTCCCGCCCACGTTCCCGCATCATGGGCGTGGGCGCTTGCGTCTGACAGGATTACGAACTTGTTCGGAAACATCTAACCGAACGAGAATTTGATACATACCACCCCAGATGTAGGCAACCAAAATGTTCGGAAAAATTCGAAAAAATGATCAGAACTCAACCTAGCCATTCCAAATATGATGTATATCATTCGACTTGCCTCAAAACGCTGATCTCAAATATAAGTTTATTAAGTGGTATGCCCGGCTTCGCCCACACCGTGATTTTAAGCGGCTCAACAAAGAGCAAATTTGGTGTTCAACTCTAAAAACTCAACTTATCTGCGCGTTTCCGTTTCTTTTACTCCTGTAACGCAGGGCCGATACTCCCTGAACCACATCGCTTTTACCGCTCTACCTCATCGTGGAATGAAAACGAGTTCCACCGCTATTGTTTAAAGGAAAGTTGGAAGCTGTTTGACATTTAATTAAAAAAGAACCGTAACTGCAATTCTCAAATAGCCGAACCGCAATGTGGTTCCGAAGCCCGCGAATGCAAATTTGCATCTTCAGGACTATTGGTTCACTAGTCAAGTGATAAGAATTCATTAGTTTTCAAAATCGATAAATCAATAAAAATGGGAATTTTGCTGCGAAAAGTGACCTATGGGATGGACCTGTGCCGAAAAATATGTCTGCAGGTTGGCGACGATCGGTCACACAAAATTTTTTTTGTGAGAAATACACTGACTAACAATTTGTCAATTCTCCGTTTTATATATAGATTATCTGTCGAATGACTACTTGGAAGGAGTTACGAGCGTTTGAACTTGCGTATTTTGTAGCCTACGCCCCACGAACTTCTCAAAAACAATTTAGGTTTCCAGTAAGTGTGCTTTTCCTTTGACTGGATTATTTATATTCACTGTGATTCACTTTGACTGCATTGCAACGAATTATTTTAATTGAGACTCCGATAATTTTACATCTTTAGATGGTCGTTCGACAGATAATGAACAAATATTTGAAGTCAACATTTCAAGGCGAAGAAGTTTTAGGTCAAGTCATTACTGGTATAAAACAGCTTTACCTTACACCCGTAACATAAATGTAGGCCAGGCACCACTCTTCACAAGGACAGGCATCCTGATTCAGAAGGGTTAGCCTAACCCTATCGACTGTCTCAGAAGAATACTTTTTGAGTTCTGACTTGTTCACTAGCGCCAAACTTGCAAATCCTACCTTAGGTGTTTTTGATTATTTTGCCTATTCCCGTATTGTACTGATCCAAAAAATGAAAGCACTTTGAAGAACGCTATGGTCGCACTTTTGGCAGCACTTTCATGACAATTATTTGTATGCAATATATTTGCGTTTAGAATAGATAGCTTGGTATGCTGACTCTGAAAAGCGCACGAGTTGCATGGTAGAGAATTAGTCTTGTGGGTACGGAGTGTATGTTGGAGATTGAAATTTTTGAATTTGCTAAATATTTGTATGGCGTTGCTTACTACATCGTGTTTCTTCGTTACGGTAACTTGTTTTCAAGTGGGTCTGGTTAGGACACAACAATCTTCTGCCCAAGCTTATTTCTTAAATTTTCGCGATGGTATTTTCTCATGCTTTCAAAAAAATCTGTCCCCTACTCTTGATTAAGATATCGACATCATTCATCCAATCCTAATATGACCCTGAGTAGAGCTGTTTGATCCCAAGCTTGGATTTAGAAGCCCTCTGTTGCTTTATGAATTGAGTTGATGCAAAGAGGACAAAATAATGAGACGTTTGTTTACGCATTAGTTTTCTAAAATGCACAAAAACAATTAGCTCTGGTCAATGCCATAAAAAGCGAGATAACTCAAGAGTTCTTTGAGCACAGCAAGCTTTTAGGATTTCGTTGCATATGTGGCCAATCGCTTTCCTCTTACTTCTGCTAAGTTTCAATACCGTTTCTGGCCGCGGTAGAAGCCCGGGCCGTAGTCGGAGTCCTAGCCGTGGTCGAAGTCCTGGTCTTGGTATTCCTGGCTGTGGTTGGAGTGCAATTAAACAGATAATTGCAAAATTGGCTCCTGGCCGTGATAAGCGTCGTTGGAATGCACTTCAAGAGCAAATTGCAAAATGGGCTCCCAGTGAAGGGAGTTCATTTGAAGAGCCAAGGCCAAAATGTATTGAGGTACGAGCGTTGAGCTTTATCACAAGATGGAAGATATCGACATAAACTCGTATTTTTTCAGTGCGCACAAGGTTGCTACAGAAGTTTGAAGTGGAATGAGATGACAAAATTCCACGGCTGTGTTAAATTTTGCATGTCAGACCATAATAGGAAGTCTACTGGAGATTGAGGACACCGGATTTGTAGTCCCCTTTGAATAAAGTTCATGTTGTTTTTGCATGCAGTGGGTTCTACCGTGCCCATATACTTGCTAGCGCTTTGAAATATGCACTAGTACCTCAGCTTTTGGTCTCTAAATGTTTACGTAAACAAATCTGCGAAAAACGGCTACAAGTTTGCGGTACAAACGATCACCTGAGAAAAGCTAAGTTCATGTGTACCAATTTACATCAAACATAAAATGACGGTTTGTAATACGTCTTTGCAAAGGAATAGGAGCGCCCACATACAAGCTGTGGTTCTACATCATACTTAAATTGCTTTCCTATGATCTTGCCTGTTGGGCGCTTCCCCCCCCCCCCTGAGAATAAGCGCGAAACTTTTGAACGTTACTTACATGAGTAATACAAACATGCAAGTGACTTGTTTATACTTGTAAATAATTAAAATAATCATTCAAATTTTTTAAAAATTCAATTTAGCATTACAAAAAAACCTTTTAAAAAAGGGGCGTGGCTTACGCCCCTTTTTCTAAAATTTCGGCGTTAGGGGTCCGCAAAAACTTTGGGAAGCATATCAAAAATTTTTTCGGAGCACGTGGCTGACGCCACGCCCCCTTGTCTCAAGTTCTAGGGGATGGGGACCCGCAAAAATTTTGTGAAGTACCCTTAAAAATTTTCGGAGTGATAAAAAAATACCGTCGCGAAAATTTAAGAAATAAGCTTGGGCAGATGATTGTGCCCTAATCAGACCCACTTGAAAACAAGTGCCCGTAACGAAGAAACACGATGTGATGAGCAACGCCATACAAATATTAGGTCGTTCCTAAAGTTCTTTCCGTTTTTCTAACCTATCATAAAAACACGTGGAATGAAGGTAGGAAAACGCTTTAGGTACTATCCAACGCAGCGTTTCTTCCTCTTTCTAGCAGTCATATTCACATATCGCTTACTCTTATGATCACTGAGATAACCGCCGAAGTTTTGAACACATGGTTTATACCATGTCCAAATTTGGCAATTTTTCACAATCTTCGTTTTAAACTTTCGGAGAAGCTTTGATAGCGGTCAAATAGAGTAAACAAAGTGCAATGCAATACATTTTTTTGGCAAATCCAGCTGGCTTTTCAGTATTTTTTGAGATAATTTCTCCAAAAGTCTTCACTTTTGCAAAGTCCCAAAATACAGAAACGCCCCGAACACTGGCAAGTATACGGATTTTAGTACTCTGCGTTGATACCACTGCTTATTGACAATTTTTACAAAGCACCTGAGCGTTTACCGCTTGTAAATATAAGGTTTCGCATTTTACGTGTACAGGCTGGGGCGGGCTCAAAATCAAGAATTATGGAAACTTTATCGCTAAAGACTCCGCAAATTAGAAAGAAAATACATTCATTAGAAAGAGAAGGAAAAGCTGCATCGAATGACACCTTATTTCTGCGCCGTCCTATGTTCAATGGCTCTTGGCGTCCTCAAAAGTGGAATTTGATAGCATCAGAAAAATACCCTAATTTCACGCGTACAGGGCGCGGGGTGGTCCTAGCTTTCATCGAGCTGCTCAGCCGCCCCAACGTGTTTTGAGAAGCGATCCTTATGCTGCACGATTCGTCAGGCAAAACGCAGCACGGTATGGGGTTCCTTTGGTTGCGAAGTCCTTTGCCGTGTTCGGGCTGGTCGATGAAAGCTGGGACCACCCCGCGCCTTGTACGCGTGAAATTAGGGTAATTCTAAAAAATATACAAGGCTGGCTATAAACGGCAAAAAATTGAATTAAATTGCACTTTGTTTGATCTATCTGAATGCTATCAAAGCTTTCGTAAAAGTCAAAAAAGAAGATTGTGAAAAATTGCCAAATTTGGACATGGTAAAAACCATGGGTGCGAAATTTCGGCCATTATCTCACTGACCACAAGAGCAAGAGTACTCTGCGTTGATACCACTGCTTGAGGAAGAAAAGCTGCGTCGGACAGTGCCTAAATCGTTCCTCTACCTTCATTCCACGGGTTTTTGTGATAGGTTGAAAAAACGGAAAGAACTTTCGGAACGACCTAATATTTAGCAAGTTCAAACATTTTAAGCGCCAACATACATCTACCGTACCCACAAGACTAAGGCTCTACTATGCAACTCGTGCGCTTTTCAGAGTCAGCATACCAAACTATCTATTCTAAACGCAAATATATTGCACACAAATAATTGTCATGAAAGTGCTGCCAAAAGTGCGACCATAGCGTTCTTCAAAGTGCTTTCATTTTTTGGATCAGTACAATACGGGAATAGGCAAAATAATCAAAAACACCTAAGGTAGGATTTGCAAGTTTGGCGCTAGTGAACAAGTCAGAACTCAAAAAGTATTCTTCTGAGACAGTCGATAGGGTTAGGCCAACCCTTCTGAATCAGGATGCCTGTCCTTGTGAAGAGTGGTGCCTGGCCTACATTTATGTTACGGGTGTAAGGTAAAGCTGTTTTATACCAGTAATGACTTGACCTAAAACTTCTTCTTTGGAAAAAGTATGGCTTGCCAGTACTCATGCATAAAAAAGATTATCCGTCAGATATGCTGCTTGTACCATTTACACGAATGCAGCCACAGAAAATCTTGCATATATTAGGTCATTCCGAAAGTAATTTCGCTTTTTTCAAACGGGTACCACATGTGACGGAACAAAGTTTTCTAAAAGGTCCTGGAGGCATTCGATGCAGAATTTCATTCTCTTTCTAACGGTTATGAAATTGTTGCAAAACACTCAAAAATCTTTCAGAAAATAACCAAAATGTGCGACCCATGCTTTTTGAGATGGCCAAGTTTCATGATTTTTTGAAACTTTCAACCCAATCTTCAGAAGGAGTTCAAGTAACGATTTGATAGGTTAAACCTTATAGAATACAATACTACTTTTTCCTCCTTTCCAAAGCTTGTCATACATTTTTAACAGAATTTTAACTGATGCTACCCATTTCCATACTTGGGCAGCTAAATCCTCGAAGAACATCAGTGGAAGAGCAGCTCGGGCACTATTCGATGCAGCATTTTCTCCTCTTTCTAACGGGTGTTTTTTGTTTCCGATTCGTTTAGTTTTCGGAAATAAAATCATCATAACTCATTTTTCTAGCGAGCCCCAGGCTGTGCCCGAAAAACTCGAAATTCGATATTTCGAACCCGTAAACCCTCACTTGCCTTGTAAATTAATGCTAATTCATAGTACCATATTGATAGTCTCAAATTCCGAAAAATTTATGATGTTTGATGCGATTGTGGCTGAGGTGGGTCTGCCAAAATCCGACGGTTCTGTTTAAAAAAAACTTTTAAAAAATTACAGCGGCCTATGAGAAAGAGGGAAAACTAGTACTGTATTCTATAAGGTTTACTCTATCGAATCGTTACTTGAACTCCTTCTGAAGATTGGATTGAAAGTTTTAAAAAATCGTGAAACTTGACCATCTCAAAAAGCATGCATCGCACATTTTGGCTATTTTCTGAAAGTTCGTTGATTGTTTTGCAATAATTTCATAATCATTAGAAAGAGAATGGCATTCTGCATCGAATGCTCCTAAGATCTCTTAGAAAATTTTGTTCTGTCACATGTGGTGCCCGTTTGAAAAAAGCGAAATTACTTTCGGAATGACCTAATAAATCAGAAAAACTCCTAAATACAGGCTAATTCTTATTTTGAACGTCATATGAGGAGGTTTTGCAGTTGAGATGAAAAAGGAGTTGTTTAGTAGGTGTAAAAGTGTCCTGAGCGAGTGGGCCTGAGCTCACGCTCGATTCTGGTTACTTCTGTCCACCATCAATAGACTAAAACGTCACTTCAGATGACGCTAAGGCCCCGGACAGACTTCTCGCGATTTGATCGTCGCGCCTCAATCGCCGACATTTGCATTCATTTTCATTTCACATTCAAAGATTTTGGGCTGAAAAAGTATCACAACCGAAATGCAAGTTGATCGGCATGGAATGATGCTGTAACAGCTGTCTCGTCGTGATACAGTCGCGACGACCAAATTGCGTGAAGTCTGTCCGAGGCCTAACGAGGTAACGGTCAGAAATTAACCCAGCCGTTTCAAACAAGCTGTATACCATGAGCTCGCCTTGAAATGTTGACTTCAAATATTTGTTCATTATCTGTCGAACGACCATCTAAAGATGTAAAATTATCGGAGTCTCAATTAAAATAATTCGTTGCAATGCAGTCAAAGTGAATCACAGTGAATATAAATAATCCAGTACTCTGCGTTGATACCACTGCTT